CTTCTCAGACAGGGTGGGGGGGTCGGTCTGGGGTAGGGGGTCGGTCTGGGGTAGGGGGGGTCGGTCGGGGTAGGGGGGTCGGTCTAGGGTGGGGGGTTGGTCTGGGGTAGGGGGGTCGGTCTAGGGTAGGGGGGGCGGTCTAGGGTAGGGGGGTCGGTCTAGGGTGGGGGGTTGGTCTGGGGTAGGGGGGTCGGTCTAGGGTAGGGGGGTCGGTCTAGGGTGGGGGGTTGGTCTGGGGTAGGGGGTCGGTCTAGGGTAGGGGGGGTCGGTCTAGGGTAGGGGGGTTTAGTTTGCAGGGTTACGGTATGAAACATACTGTGCTCTTTTGAGTTAGTACCTTATGACGTTAAGGTCATAGTAATGAATATCAGGTTTTACTTTTGATGTAGTTTGTACGGAAGTATGTATCAATACTCTCCTTAATTTGGTTATTGTTTGTGTTTTCATTAGATACTTTTTGTTACATGATGTATAATTTTTATGTATTTGTATGTGGTATTATATGGCCGTGGAAAGTTTATTATATCTGTTGCCGAATAGGGCCTGTTTGTTATTTATGTGCTGTGATGTACTTTTTAAATAAAATATAAAAGAAAAATACCCCAAGTGGTATTAGAGCACTCACCTCTCACACTAAGGCCCGTGGTTCGATTCCCGGTACGGTTGGGAACATTGGGCGTATTTCCTTAAGGCACCTGCTGTCCCTGTTCACCTAGAAGTAAAATAGGTACCTGGGTGTTGCCCGACTGGTGTAGGTCGCATCCTGGGGGACAAAATTAACCCAATTTGTCCGAAATGTTGTGCATAACAAGGGGCTTTATATGTCGACTAGGCTTTTGTACGTTGTACTTGGTGCAACAAAGATTATTATTACTATTATAAGCGGAGCACAGCAGATGTAAGCAAATCGTAACATCTGACCAGGACACAGAAATATGAGCACGACCTAACTAAACAAAAAAAATCACAAATTACTGAATCTGACTTGAGCAAAACTTAAAAATCCCGACTACGATAGGACGTAGATACCAGTCTATGATAGACCAAGAGTGAGACTCTTGACCCTAGGCAGAAGTGTCCGTTATATCGGGGATGAACAAGTGACTGATTACTCTCGGAGAGGGAGCATGGACACGGGGGTCGTCCCACAGTTACTAAAAACAACAGACATAGCCCCACTCCACAAAGGGGGCAGTAAAGCAACAGCAAAGAACTACAGGCCGATAGCACTAACATCCCATATCATAAAAATCTTTGAAAGAGTCCTAAGAAGCAAGATCACCACCCATCTAGAAACCCATCAGTTACACAACCCAGGGCAACATGGGTTTAGAACAGGTCGCTCCTGTCTGTCTCAACTATTGGATCACTACGACAAGGTCCTAGATGCACTAGAAGACAAAAAGAATGCAGATGTAATATATACAGACTTTGCAAAAGCCTTCGACAAGTGTGACCAGGTGTAATAGCGCACAAAATGCGTGCTAAAGGAATAACGGGAAAAGTCGGTCGATGGATCTATAATTTCCTCACTAACAGAACACAGAGAGTAGTAATCAACAGAGTAAAGTCCGAGGCAGGCACGGTGAAAAGCTCTGTTCCACAAGGCACAGTACTCGCTCCCATCTTGTTCCTCATCCTCATATCTGACATAGACAAGGAGTCACCACAGCACCGTGTCTTCGTTTGCAGATGACACCCGAATCTGCATGACAGTGTCTTCCATTGCAGACACTGCAAGGCTCCAGGCGGACATCAACCAAATCTTTCAGTGGGCTGCAGAAAACAATATGAAGTTCAACGATGAGAAATTTCAATTTCTCAGATATGGTAAACACGAGGAATTAAATCTTTATCAGAGTACAAAACAAATTCTGGCCACAAAATAGAGCGAAACACCAAAAGTCAAAGACCTGGGAGTGATCATGTCAGAGGATCTCACCTTCAATGACAGGATGGATAATGAGAACCTTCAAAACGAGGGAGGCCAAGCCCATGATGACACTCTTCAGGTCCCCTTGTTCTATCTAGGCTGGAATATGCTGCACACTAACAAGTACCTTCAAGGCAGGTGAAATTGCTGACCTAGAAAATGTACAGAGAACCTTCACGGCGCGCATAACGGAGATAAAACACCTCATTAAATGGAGCGCTTGAGGTTCCTGAACTGTATTCCCCCGGAACGCAGGCGGGGGAGATAAAATGATTATATACACCGGAAAATCCTAGAGGGACTAGTACCGAACTTTCACACGAAAATCACTCACTACGAAAGCAAAAGACTTGCAGACGATGCAACATCCCCCAATGAAAAGCAGGGGTGTCACTAGCACGTTAGAGACCCTAACAATAAGTGTCAGGGGCCCGAGGACTGTTCAAAATGCCTTCCCAGCATACATAAGGGGGATTACCAACAGACCCCTGGCAGTGGCAGTCTTCAAGCTGGCACTGGACAAGCACCTAAAGTCGGTTCCTGATCAGCCGGGCTGTGGCTCGTTACGTAGGTATGCGTGCATGCCAGCAGTAACAGCCTGGTTGATCAGGCTCACTGATTTATCCCACCATGAGGGGGGGGCCTGTCACAAGAAACAGATCCGGGCCGCGGGGGCGTTACTGACCCCCGGAACTCTCTCCTCCAGTAAACCCAGATAATCCACTCCACTTGTGTGGCCATTTGTGGGAGAATCTCTTCTCCACAAATTACTGTGGGTGCAGTGGTCACTATTCTGACCTTGTATTTCCATATTTTTTGGTGTTACCGGAGCCCCTGTGTTTAGAGCTTCTTTTTTATTATAATAAGGTTATGGTTATACAGGAAGGAGTACCTGGTGCAAGAAACTCAGTTAGTCCTGGGGGCTGTATAATGAGATACATATAGATTTTTTAATATTTATCATATTTTATAAAATCATGGAGGAAGTCCATAAAAATAGTATACTTCATCTGATTTTTTAAAAAATACACTAAACATAAAAAATTTTCAGAAATGGTGCTAAAATTTTGTCCCCCCCCCCCAGTAGGACTCTCTTAACACAGCCATAAAAAAAATCTTACTAATTCTAAATAGAACTCTGGTACATAATTGCACATGAAAATAGATGTATGTCTTGGTTCACCGACGGAATATATTCGACCAAAAACGTTTTAAGCACCGAACCCATGAGCCATTCTCACAAGGCCGATCGTCCTCCTCTTACGGAGCATACTGAGAGGGTTTCGGGGAGACAACCCCCCGCACCCGTCTAGACCAGGCTTCATGGTGGATCAGGATCTGATCAACCAGCGTTACTGCTGGCCGCACGAAAACTGAAACGTACAACCACAGCCTGGTTGGTCAGGTACGTACTTGAGGTGCTAGTCCAGGCCTTCAAGACAGCCAGGGGCTATGGTAATCCCTCGTATATACGCTGGAGGCAGTTGCAACCCAACGACAGTGACAATCTCCCACCATGGATCAACATAGTTGAGCGGAGTGTAACAAATTTCTAGAACGGAAAAAAACAATTACAGCATTTTTTTTCCTTGGCATGGAAACTGTGGAGGAACCGGGAATACATCCGACCGACCACAGCTCGGTTGGTAGTGCACTCATCTCCACAACTGAGGTTCGGATCGATCTCCATTACGGGTGGAAATGTTTAGGAGTGTCTTTGTAAGACACCTGCTGTACCTGTTTACTTAGCATTAAATATTTACCTGGGTGTTATGTTTGACTAGTGGGGGTGCATCCGGGGACAAAACCTAATTTTGGGCCAAAATTCTCACATAACAAGAGGCTTTATATCAGGAGGCATCATTGATTCACTATGGTCTTATAAGTTAAGATCATGTACTTGGAAAAATAAAGATTATTATTATTATTATGTAATCGAGTATCAGAAATATAAAATAATACTATAATACATAATATTTTCCGTTTAGCTATTAAATAACTTGCATTACAATATTTAATTATACATATCAAAATGTACAAAAAAAAAAAAAAAAAAAAACCTTGGGAAAAAAAAATATTTGTCCTAATAATTTAGCTGTAAGGCCATCCCAAGAGCAGTATATTCCATGCTGCCAAGGGCTACTGATCCAAGGATCAATAGCCAGATTAACTCTTTTACCCTGCATTGTACGACTCCTGTGAATTCGTCATATCCTAGTGGATAAATAATTGGAATTTTTTTGGGAAGGGAGAGATTTGGGGCGATTTTATAAAATGACTGCCATTATTCTAGAGTTATTGCTATGTGTAATATAAATATTAGCTGACAGTTGATATGCGTGTTTGCTTATGTCTGATTCTGAACTCGTATCGGATGTTGTAGCTCATCACAGAGTTAGAAGCTCATCACATGTTGATAGTTCATCACAGATGCTGATAGACCATCATGATGCTGGTAGTTCATGCCAGAAGCTGGTAGCTCATCACAGATGTTGGTAGCTCATCACATGTTAGTAGCATATCACAGACGTTGGTAGCTCATCACAGATGTTGGTAGCTCAATCAAGATGTTAGTAAGCACATCACATACGTTGGTATCTCACACAGATGTTGGAGCTCATCACTGATGTTGGTACTCATCACAGATTGTGGTACTCTCACAGATGTTGTAGCTCAGCACAGAGATGTTGATAGTTCATCACAGATGCTGATAGTCCACATACGCTGGTAGCTCATGCCAGATGCTGGGTAGCTCATGTCAGATAGCAGTGCTCACTGAAGATTAACAGCAACGCTCAGCAGCTGCCAGTAGTCACTGCAGTATACAGGTCACTGGCAAATTACAGTAGATCACTGCATTGCAGCAAGTCACTGCTGCTAAGTTTTATACTTAACACTCACAAACCCAGACTACATCACAGTATTAATTAAGTTTACAAATTTGGATGAGGTTTGAACTAGGTTATATTTATCAGGTAAGATCAAGCGCATATCATTCTTGTCTTGTGATGTGTCAAATAGTCTGAAGTGTTTCTACTTGAAATAAATGTAGTACTTTCCACCACAGGACTTGCGAGATTTTAAGGCTCGCCTGGCACTGCCTCTGAGACTGACTCCAGCTCTGGAAGGTGCCAATTTCACATATGGTATGAACTCTGACACCTTGCAAAAAATTGTGAAGTATTGGAGGGAGAAATACGACTGGAGGGAGAGAGAGGCAAGACTCAACTCTTACCCCCATTTCAAGTATGGATAGACCTTACCTTTGATATACCTTTGAGTTCCGAGGTTTTTTTTTTTTTTTACTCCTGGAGCCCGGCCATGAGCCAGGCTCCTCTGGTACATGCCTGGTCAGCCAGGATGTTGCTGTTGGTGGCCCGCAGCCCCACATATCCATCACAACCTGGTTGACCTGGCACCTGGTCAAGATACTTGGCAGTATAACTATTGTTAAATTATTGTATATTGTACAGAACTATCACTTAATATGCATTAGTACTTAAAATCACGTATTAGCACTTGCATAATTATAGCATATACACAAGTACTTGACAGGGAAAACCAGATCTTGCTATATCTGGGGCCACTCGGCAAATTATAATGCGCAGTACGTGTTTATCTGTTACATCTCTAACACTTGTGTTATTGTGAAAAAAAAAATTACCATATCACTCGCGTGTTTTTGTACGAAAATTATTGTAAAAGGGTGGATCTTATTAGATACGCATTTTTCCCACAGTCTGTACTGTAACTACTTCATACACAAAAAAAGGCAGGGGTTTGTGGGTAATAGAGAAAAGCATATAACCGCTTTGGCGGGCTAGCCCTTGCGGGACAAATAGGGCTTCCACGTCATTTTAGGCTTACACTATACTTTGGTCACTTGAGTTCGATATGTATAGGGCAGCCTCACAATAGTAAAAAAAATGAATTTTATGGAATAACCCCAAATTTTGGGAAAAATTTTTGAGCCTGACCTAGCTAAGGGGCAGAAAATTAAAGACAAGCAGAGAGGATTTCGTATTAGACTAACAAAATGAAACACATGACAGTAAAGCCCCTCAGGGAAAGGTTCCCTTCATTTTGGGTGGGGGGCTCTTGTTTTAAAGGGAATTGGATCTGTGCTCCATTCCCCCAAAAATTAAGCCTAATGTTTTCCAAAACCCCCCCTCCCCGGGCGCTGTATACCTAGGGTTTTTTAGCGTTTTTCCCCCTTGATTATAATAATAATAATAATAAAAATAATAAAATAATAAAAATAAAAAAAACAGAAAAGCGCTAAATATTTTTTTTCAGATTTTTTTAAACTTGAAGCACAGTGTTTTAAAAAATAGTGATTATGTTCAGGATTGCGACCTTTTATCACTGATTGCCAACATTTTTTTAAAATTTCAGGCCCCCGTTAGAAGGGTTAACATCCACTTCAGGTGCAGATTCTAAGATTGGCAGTCCCAAAAAAATGCAAGGGCAGTGCCCTACTGCTGACCATGGGGGGCGACCCATCGTGGTTTCCCTCGACAACTGCCTCTTCTTACTCCCCCACAGGAAGGAAGAAAAGTTGAAATTTTGAGTATCTCCCCTTCCCCCGGGCTTTGGCTTTTCAGAGCTCCTCCAAACAAGGTGCTGCATCTGAATGAAATCTGCAAATAAAAAAATTTTCTGTAGGTTTGTCGAAATGTTACACTAGCACTATTGACCCCATAGAAGATTAGTACAAGTCAGCTTTTGGGTTTACATCAATAGAAGTACATAAATACTGGTTGGATTTTTTGTGCCTTTTTATATACTCTACTAAGGATCAAATTGATTTTGTATCTAATGGACAAAACCAAATTTGTTTTAAAATAAATTTAAATACATTTTAGCCACTTTTGAACGGGTCAAGTGTTGTAATTTGATGCAACGCGGGTTATGACCGTTCTCGGCGGGGAGGGGACTGGGGCGCCGTTTTGCTCCCAAAGGCCTTTTTGTACCCTCAAGGGTGAGTGCCCCAACATTACAATACTGATTTTTCATAATAACTCAATGGGTTTGACAGTGGGTATACACCGGTAACTGATACACAGTTTGGGTTTTTTCAAAAGATACGTGAGAAAATACTAGGACATTTTCAGAAAAAAAAAACTTAAATTTTTTATACAGGATGATTATTCTTTTTTTTGTCCAAAACACTAAGATGATTTATAAATTTTGCAAGTAATACTAACACGGGTATACCTGCATGGAAAAATTTCATACTTTTAATTCTGGGGAAGAAAGGACAGAACCCTTTCCCCAGTAAGCAATGATGACTTAGCAGTTAAAGTGCTGGAAAAAGGGGTAGAAAAACCTGGAGGGGTTTTTGGGGGACAGCCCCCCCCGGCCCCGGGTCTGTACCAGGCCTCACGTAGATCAACCGGGCTGTTACTGCGGGCCCCTTCATTCTTTTACTTAGACAAAGAATGTTTTTTGGGTGCAGTACGCCTGAGCTGTAATTCGAACCTGCTGTTGTAAAAGATGATGGTGTGTTTTTTTTTTGGGTCCATGACCTTGGTGGGTGGCGACTGATGTACAAAACATAAAAAATTTATACAATATATTAGCGGACTTAAATCCTAAAGCTCAGCAGGGGGGGTGGGGGGGGGAGGTTTTTGCAGTCAGATTTAAATCTTACGTGTTCAGCACCCCTGGCAAGCATGATTCATAAATAAGGAGTTCCCTTTCTTGGGGTCACCCCGATTTGCCGGAAGACACCTTTAACATTTTTTATATTATATATATTTTTAATTACTTCGCCGTTTTCCCCCGGGACGGGTGCCCCAAAAAAAAAAAAAAACTTTCATCTTCAAAAATTTTTCACCTAAAGCATCTAATCACTGTTTTTGTAGGGGCGCTAGATACGACTTTTTAATGCCCCCCCCAAACTGTCATATGCCAAACCCCCTCCTTTAAAATGCGGGCATTTTACTTCCCCTTCCAGGACTCGAGTCAATTAAACCGGTTTTTGAATCCCTTCACAAAAATTACCCTGCCCACCCCAAACAGCTCTTTTGGTCCAAAACCCATTCGCCCCCTTTCACTATATCAAACTTGCTCACCCCGCTTGACTTTTTAAAAGGTTTTTCCTAGGCCAGGGAATTTACACAATTTAAATTTGTTGATAATTATGAAACTTTTTGTGTACCTTACTTAAATAAACTTAAATGTGGTGCTGGCCACAACTAACGTTTGCATGCGGCAACAGTAGCAGCCTGGTTGTCAGGCCCTACCCACCGGAAGGGGCCTGGTCACCCCGGGTCTGGGGGGCTTTGACCCCAAAACCCCTTCCAGGGTGTTCCAGGTTAAATTCCCTTTAAAACATTTTTATTATTTTTTTAATCTGATTTTTTTTTTTCCCCCGTATTTTAGGGGTACTGTGAACACGTTTTTGTCATTACTCCGGGGCTACATTCAAATCAAAATGTTGCGGGAGCCTTCCTCCCTGCAGGAAGTGGTCCCCAAAGGGAAAGCCCAAACAAATTGTACCCGCTGTCAAATCTTTTCTCCCCATGGGCTATTGGAAACGGGCTACATGACTTGCGGCCCCAAACCTGACACTTTTGGGTTATACTGTCACCTTTATTTTTTTACAAAGTTTTTTACCACGCATCTGTATTTTTGGTCTTCAACTGAAGATCTGCATGAAATGTTGATCTTCAGTTGATTATCACAAGAAACGAAATATTCGATTACCTTCAGTGAAGAAAAAAAGAAGTGGATGTAGCAGTAGTGGAAAAGGGGAGCGGAGTGTACTATGTTCTAAAACGTGTATTTTTTTGATTTTCACCTTTTATCTAAATTAGAATAGATGCTTTGCCCTTAAAAACAAAGATATGCAGTAAATAACTTTTGCACTACAGCATTGTTTTCCAAACCCAAGGTAGCCCCAGAGAAGGAAACACATTTACCATATTAATGGTGCTTTTCCCAGGGAAATGGACCAGAATTCAAATGATTCACTGAGCCACAGGGCCGTGCAGTTCTCTTGGTTTGGTCATGATGGAGTTCCAGTAATGCCCATACAGATGCGGAGGAAAATACTCTAATCTATCATTCTGTGTAGCAGACTTCTTCAAAAGGCCCCCTTGGGATCCAGCTGTGTTTAGGGAATATTGGGCTGCAGACAACAGCGGGTTATATAGGGCTCACAAGGTGTGGGATTTTGGGTTTCTCCCTTTTTCTACAATAAAGTTACTATGAGATGATTCTCTGTAGATTATAGGTCCAGGGACCTTACATAGTCCCCTGCTGGGGGGTGATCTGCCCCTTCGACATTTTACAACCCCACCACTTACCTAAACAGTACACTCCCACTTTTAAAAATAACCCCCTTCATTTGGGTGAATTCATTTAGTTTCCTGTAACCACCCACTATTTTTATTTTGTCTTCATTCACGGTCGGACGAACCAAATCCAGTGAGTCTTGCAGCATATATCTTAGAAAATTTTCACTTGGGACTCATAAGACAATCGTCACAAGCCATGGTGGACCCTTCACGGTTTTTTCCCAATATCTCTAGTTTAATTTTTTTGGGATAATATCGCATTTTTTGGTAGTGTAATTATCGATCAATGTTGACTCATTATAAATTTTTAATCAGCCTGTTTCCCAGCCCGGGACAGAGGGGAAGAAAATTATAGTGAAAAGGGGGTTAAAAAGGAAAAAATATCTCCCATTTTTGTATAATTCTTCATAAAAAGCGGGTTAAAAAATTGTAATTATGTTTTATCTAATGCAAAGCCTGCAAAAATTACTGTAATCTTTGTCATTCTTTTGTTTTGAAATATGAAAGACTGTAAAAAAAGAACTGACCTTAAAGGCAGTTTTAGATATATTAAAGAATATTCTTGAAAGGGTTTTATGCATTTTATTTTAAAAGGGGGGAAGCGCAAACCCCGGAGAATACAGCGCCGGGGGGGGATGGGGAAGGGCATTCGGTTTAAATTTCGGGGAACTGGAGCACAACCCAATTCCCAAAATCAAAGCCCCCACCAACATCAAGGAACCTTCCTTGGGGGGAAGGGTTTTTTATGCAAAAGCGCTTTTAAAAGGATGTAAGTGGAAGTTGGGCATGTTTCTCTACACCCCTGCCCCCGTTCAATAGCAAAGTGGGGTACCGGGGTGTTAGTAATGTTGTGGGTGCATCCTGGGGGGTAGTATGCCTTAGAGGGCGACCAAATTTTTTTTGCGCGCTTTAAAAAATCGAAAAATTAGGGAAAAAC